GCGGAGGGTGAGACACTGGCGAAGCTGGGGGTAGAAGGGTGCAAGGAATCTCCATCGTCGCAAGCGGGTCGATCGAGTGCGTGTGCAAACATTTTCCGCGTACGTTTTCTTCGCATACGCGTAGAAAATTCGGCCAATAAAGAGAGAAAACGTAACGATGGGTAGGGGAGGGGGGGGGGAGGTGGTGGGTACGGATGAGACAGAGAATTTTCTGTAAACCACGAAAATTTAACAAAAAAAAAAAAGTACAAGAAATCGTTCCCTCGCCATTTTCTCCCCTTGCTTCTATTCGTCTACGTTTCTCGCCCCTTCTTTCGCACGTGCGCGTGAAAAATTGTCGAAATTGCGAAAACAAGACCCGGGAAAAACGGATGAATAAATTTCACGTCATGCTCTGATTGAACTCGTACGAATTATCGTGCAAGTATATATTTGTTTGTCCAACATGAGATAACTTTCGAATCAATACTCGCGACGATAATGACTCGACGAAATTTTCGTCGACACGCAGGAAATATTTGCTTATTGATTCAAAATAATAAAAAGAAAAATAAGAAACATTGCAAGTAGAAGCTTGTAGAAAAAGAATAAAATATCCGTCGTGTCTTTTCCCGGGTTGAACGTATAACGCATAGAGAATTGGAGATCGGCGAGGCGAGGCGAGGCGAGACAAGGCGAGGCAGGGCGAGACGAGGCGAGGCGAGGCGAGGTGAAGCGCGGCGCGCGCACGCTCGCGCGGCCGTCGCACGTGCGTGGCTGCGTGTGTGCGGGGAAGCTGTGAGTCATCCTGTGGGAGAGGGAGAAAGAGAACGAATCCTGTTTCCCGCGGCAGGAAACAACGAGTGGGGGTGGGGATCGATATATCGACTCGAGAAACACACTCCTGCCGTTAGCGGGAACTGCGTAGCTTCAAGGTCCTCTCTCACACCCCTCCGTGCTCCTTTCTACGTTTTCCTTCCTTCCTCCTCCTCCTTCTCCTTCTCCTCCTCCTCCTCCTTCTCCTCCCCCCCGTCCTCGAATCCCGCGACGAAGTCGATTTTCTCGGGCTGATTCGGAAGCGGTACGCTTTTTTCGTTCATTTAAATTCGCGAGCGAAAAACGCTTGCTTTTTATACCTCGCTGATAACTTCGCCTCGCTTTCGTCCTTCTGTTCCAAGAGCGTTATCGTCAAGTCGACGAACTCAATCGTGCCATGAATACCCGCATCGAAGATAACGCGAATAATTTACCAAACTGGGAAGAATTTTTTCTAAGGAAATAAAAACGATGTGTGTGTGTGTGTGTGTGTGTGTGTGTGTGTGTGTGTGTGTTGAGATAAAGAAAGAAAAAAAAAGAAGAGGAGAAAGAGACATTTAAATATATTACAAATTAAATGAAAATTTTTTCATTATCAATTACTATTAAATTTCGTAAAATAAACCATCCACAAATTTAGCGTTGATTGATATACGTCACGTCATTTAGAGAGATCACGCTGGATAAAATCTAGTTGCTTCTTCGATAGAGTTTCCCAAAACATTACGAACCCAAAACGTTACATCGGAAAGAAAAAAAAAAAAAAAAAAAAAAAAAAAAAAATCAAGCACCGACGCGCAGCATTTGATCTTTTTTTAATGCTCGCGCCGCGACGGCACGAGCCCCGTCGCATTATTTTGCCATGACGAGGAGCGAACGGGTTGATTGGCCTGCCGTCAGATAACCCTGAGCAGCCGAGAATTGTATCCGGTTATCGTGCGGTTATCGCTTTAAGCGAATAACGCAAAAAGCATTGGTAATGCACTCTGCGGGACTCGCCGCCTCGTCGAGACGAGCCGAGTTTCGCGCTGCAAGTTAACGTAACCGAACCCTCGTCCGTTCA